GCGATTGTGGAGGGTGACGCCTGCACCCCGCAGAGGCACAGCCGGCTCCTGCCAGGGAGCACAGGACAGGCAGGCCAGCGCGGCCCTCCGGTTAAAAGCGAGCTGCCTGGCGCCAGCATGGATCAGCGGTGCGTGCAAAGCAGCTACGGCCACCGTCACTCAAGGACATGGACTCGGGGGTAGCCACCCCCCCTGCTCTTACAAAGGATATGCTGGGTCAACTGGAAAATTCTGGAAGAAATCCCTGCTGCTAGCGAGGCGCTGAGGGGTGGGAGTAATTGGTGCGGGTCTGCAGAGGTCGCATTGATCCAGCGGCTCGTTCCTGCAGAGAGGTGGTCCCTCTGCCCCAGCACTCCCTGTTCCCCGGCTGCCAGTCGCTGAGCCAGTTCACCAAGGCCGCAGGAAGCTGCCTCCAGCACGGCCGTACTGGGTCAGGCACACGACAGACTGTGCCCCGGAAGGAGCTGATGGGCTGCACGACTGGTACAAGCCCTTTGGTGGTGAAGAATTGAATCCTGAAGCGGCTCAGGGTGTCTGACTGTGCCCTGGGAGAGGTCTGGCCACAGCAAAGAAATCACTGCCCTCTCATTTTTTCATCCAGAGACCACTTATCGCCTCCTGACCGCCTGGCCTTCCTCCTGCCACCCTAACTGCAGCGCAAGGGACCACCATTTCTCCATCCTTCCCGTCATGGGTCCTTTCCACATCTTTCTCCCAAACCTTTTTCCTGGCACCCCAAAAGCACTACGAACGTCAGCACTGCCAGGCAGCTCCGTCTCTCCCAGGACTGAGCGTAGGTACTGGAGGAAGAGTGCCGGAACAGGGCAAACATAGCAGCCTGGCGTACTCCCACGGCCTCCAACAGTTTATGCCTCGGGGAGTTCCTGAGCTAGAAATGTCTCTAACAGTCCCCCGTGGGTTTTAATTCCATTAAAATTCCATTTAATTCCATTTGTCGTCACATTTTAAGCTCCAAACCTGCTAGTATCAGTGAAAAGAGAATAGTCTTTTATAGAGACACGCACCCTTCGTGCACTTAATCAAAGCTATTACTCGCATTTGTATCAAATCTAATCTAATTTTATCCTTGCCTGTTCCCTTGAGGCCAGCGACGAAGCTCATTTTCAGTTTGGTTTTATCAGGGCTCGGGAACTAGAGCTTTTTTTCATCATCTTTGAAACATGGGAATTGTAGTCTTTGTGCTTAGCTTCCTAGTGAACCACATTTCCCAGAAGACTCCTCTCCCGGCAGGCCGGCCCTTTCCTGCAGCCGGGCAGCGTTATGAAAGGTAAGGTTTCGCCGTTCCTCACCAGGTCCCTCTTACTTCGGTAGATGCGTTCGGTTCGGCTGTTACCCCCCTCGCCCCCGCCCCAGCATTACAGCTCGGGGACTCGGGGCTGTCCCTCTGAACTTTTGACCATTTGTAGAAACCTGTTTACCTTCTACCTGGAACTGGGATGACCTGGCTATGGAGCATCTCGGGTGCCTGTTAAAATCAAACTCTAAGCTCAGATCTCCATAGCTAGGTTGGGAGTTTCACTTCCTCTGCATGGCAGTTGTGACCTTTTAAAAGCTGCTTTGCATTTCACAGGAAATATTCTGCCCTTCAAGTTTCTCTCCCACCCTGTCCGACGCTTCGCAGCGGGTCTCAGCCACGGCTCTCATCCTTCATGCTGGGCCTACCATTGCCTTCTCGCTCGTGGGCCAACCCATATTACATCTCCATTTCCTTCTTGGAGATCGTGTGATGCCTAGGGACAGGATTAGAGAATTTTCATCTAAACACTGTCAAACTGGCTTAGCAGCCTTTGGGGAGCATCAGGGCAGAAGTTACTCTCAAAGGAAATTACAGTTTATTGGGAGACTTTGTCCCTTGTAATTAATTCATATGGAAGCTTAAACCTCTTCAGAAGGAAGGCCCAGCACAACTCCTGCTAAACAACAAAACCAGGCAAAAATTCTCAATTTTTTTAGCAGAATCCACTGCTTAGATTTAACAAATGATGGAGGACTGTGGAAGAAGTCCAGTCTTTCCCGTAATTCAAGAGATGATGAAGCAAAGCCTTGACAACTGGAGATTAACTGAGACAAATCTACTCTTTGCCACTAGCATCAATTTAGTATCGTGACACAGCTGAACACCCAAACTTCAAATACAGTTAAATATTGCTCCGTTTACTCTAAGAACTGGTACTTGAGGCAAAGCAATTTAGATGCAGCAGGAGTCTACAGCCATCCAGCCACCAAAGCACAGGGTATCACGCTGGTACTTGGGGGCCAGGCTTGTAGACAAGTAAAAGGCATTCACTGCTTGAACGCCCAGGACTTGCTGGGAGCTGGCACAGATCTCACAGGCACTGCAGGGTTCCTGTGGGCAGCATTTGGGAAACTGCCCACTTGCTGCAACCATTTGACAGCTCACAAGCTGCGCAGAGCCCTCCCTCAAACCACTGCCTGTAGTACCTGAGGGATCTGCTCCAGTAGCTGACGGCTCCCAGTGATTTCTGGTGGTGAGGGCAGAAGTGTGTGTGGGCATGAATCTGGGTGTCCCACGGCAGCGAGCAAGCTTTAAGCACCAGACTATCTGGGGGCTGTTGCAATCACTCTTTAGAGATCACCCTCTTTTAGCAGTAATTAACATCTTTCCTCCACCTTCCAGATCTCGTACAAGCCCCCTTGCTGAGGGAGATGGCGGGAGGCAGAAATACCAGACAGTCAATTCTCAGCACTGTTGCTTTCAAAGTTTTTTGTACTTTGTATGCAAAACCATAGGCCCAGGAAAAATAGTTTTAAAACAGTGAAAGGGAGAAAGGAGAACGACAGACTCCCGGAAGACCAAACAAAATCAAGGTCCAAACTAATCCACTCCTGTCGCAAGAGGAACTGCACACAGTTCCAGGCTGCTTGCCAGCAAAGCCATCCTGCCTGTCCCTAACACAGCATGCTGTTCCTCCCTTAAAGCAGGATATCCCTCCCATTCCTACCACCCCCGCACACCCACACATTTGGGTGATCCCTTCTTTCTCAGCAAAGCCTCCTGCTCCTGCTGGAGAAGCAAAGCAGCACCTCTCCACTGACTAGGGAGATGGCACCCACAATGGGGGAGGTGCCAGAAGCATTTTGGCAGTGTCCTGATCATCTTCAGTCCCATTTCAAGGCCTGAGTGTCCTGATCATCTTCAGTCCCATTTCAAGGCCTGTTCTGCACCAGGACTTTATCAAAAAAGAGGAGCAACTCCAGTTAAGGCCTTTGTCCTGAAAGAGCAACATTTCAAGGTTGTTTTTTTTCTGCCTTCCAACAACCCATGCAAAGGATGGGTTAAAAAGAAGAGACTGATTTGGAGCAGGCAGAATGTTAAAAAAGCAGAGCAGAGGTCTCTTCTGTCATGGTACCAGCCAGGCAGTGCCTGGGCAGTGCCTGGGTGGGGTGCTTGGCCTCCCTGCCATTTTCTTCTCTGCCCTGTTGCACCTACCTGGGAAAGACTTTGCATGCTCAGGTCTTTCTGGGCTCTTGAAAAGTCCTCTTGGGCAGCCAAACTTCACACCAGGGTAGAAGGGCAGGAATCCTGCAAGTCAGGGGTGCTAAGTTTGTCCTTGTACCTTCAGCAGTCTTCAGCACTGCCCTCTGTGAAAGGGACAGATGAACACTGGCCTCAGATGGTGGGCTTTTTTAACATTTCCAAATGTGTTCCTTTACTAGAAAGAGCAAAGATACTTATCAGAATAATTTTCCAGAAAATCCCAAGAAAATAGAATTAAGGACATGCTCTTGGCTTTACTTTACCTGCCATGTGTTCTGTCCTTGGCTTTTAGCTGAACATGTTCTCTGCCAGGAAGTTGTCAAGACTTTGCAGAGCCATCAGATCCCATCATTTCAGATCCCATTCTGTATCCAGGACCTCTCCAAACTTGGCTTTCGTGCCAGCTTGTCTTCCCCCGGATCCTGTGGAAGTAGAGAAGCTGCAGCACTTTGTTTCTAACTCCAAGAGGCTGTTTGTAATGACTGGAGCTGGAGTCTCGACTGAATCAGGGATCCCAGATTACCGCTCTGAAGGTGTGGGGCTCTACACCAGGACAGACAGACGGCCCATCCAGCACGCTGAGTTTGTGCGCAGCGCCAGTGCCCGGCAGCGGTACTGGGCAAGGAACTTTGTGGGCTGGCCTCAGTTCTCTTCCCACCAGCCAAACACAGCACACCTGGTACTAAGAGACTGGGAGAAGCTGGGGAAACTGCACTGGCTGGTGACCCAGAATGTGGATGCCCTTCACACCAAAGCCGGGAGCCAGCGCATGACAGAATTGCACGGCTGCACGCACAGGTACTCTCTGTCGGCAGAAGGAGGATGGTTAATCCCCCGGTCCTTCCTTTAGGGTGACTGACAGGCAGGTGCAGTGCTATCTGCTGAAAAAGGAGGCAAAATATCAATGCTACGTTCCTGGGGATGACATGCTCAAAGCTGTCATTGGGCTGGGATGGAGAAAAAGATCACAAAACAGTGCTGTCACAGTTCAGTATTTAAGAAACACGAACATCGCTCCATTTTTTGGGGCATTGTTTGGATCATTGCCCTTGGAGCCTGCCTCAGTCAGAATTCCCCCTTTCCTTGCTACAGCAAATGTCCTCTCAGTGAAGAGGACAAGGGGATCCCTAGGATGCAAGGATTTTCCAGGGCTAAGCAGAGTGGATAGTGCCAGGAGCGTACAGGGTGAGTGGATTGGAGAGGGACCACCACAGCCTGGCTGTGATCAGCCAAAGTCTCCAGATGAAAAAGCACAGCTTGAAGTGGGAGAGAGGATGTACGGTAGGGTTCAAAGCAATTCCTCTAGAGCATTCCTACAAAGCAACAGTCTGAGGTAGAAAGACAGCTCCTTGACCTGTACTATTTGGTAAATAAATGTGGATAATGACGACAAACCTTTTAAGGAACAAGTTCCAGGCTCCAGATCTCCAGCTGACATGAAACTCTGCATGAAGACTTTGCTCTGAATTTCAGGGTTTTCTGCCTGGCCTGTGGAGACCAGATCTTGCGCTCTGAGCTTCAGGAACACTTTGAAGCTCTGAATCCTACCTGGAAAGCTGAAGCGTTCGGTGTGGCTCCGGATGGAGATGTCTTCCTGACGGATGAGCAGGTGTGCAATTTCCACGTCCCAGCCTGCCATAAATGTGGTGGAATCCTGAAGCCTGACGTGACATTCTTTGGAGACACAGTGAGCCGGGAAAAAGTGAATTTTGTGCATCAACGCCTGGCAGAATCAGACTCCGTGCTGGTGGCAGGATCCTCCATGCAGGTAAGTAGGTCTTACTCCCACACTGCATTCCCATTTCTGTGCTACTCTGGCTGCAACAATCCCTGGTCCCACAGTTTAGAACTAAGTGCTTGTGGATCAAAACAGCCTCTCCAGAGCTCCTCTGTATTTTATTTTTACTGTGGTTGAAATCTGGCTTCACAGTTGGCCTGTTTGGGCTTCCCTGTCACCCTGTTGCCAGGTTCATGGGGCTATAAATAACTCCATGCACACATTCAGAGTGCTCTCTGCTACCTCCTCCATTGGTACATTGTAGGTTCACAGTCATCCATAAAGCTAGGATACCTGACACAATTCAGTCCTCCAGAGATCACCACCCCACTTTTTATTTTTTTAGCCTTTGGCAGCTTTCTAGGCACACTGTGTGAAATACCATATTTTAGGACCTCTAATTCCCAATTAAATTCTGCTGAAGAGAGCAGAAATATCTCTGGTTTCTGCTTAGGATTGTCCTTTGTATCACAATGTGTTTTCTCCATTAGGTATCTATAAGGCAAAGGTAGTTCAGAAACCCCTACTGTTTAACCTGTGGAAGCTTTTGGAATTGAGTTTGTATAAGAGAAATTTTTCCAGGAACAAGTTGTATTACACTAAAAAAAAATATCCCTAACGCCTCCCAGAACAAGATAAAACCAAGGCTGCCTGATTGTGATTCTCTTGGCTTCAGGATACTGGAGACAAATTCCTTGAGCTTGCACTTCTTAAGCTTATAATCCTTTGTACAGGAATGATTGAAATGCCTTAGGTTCATTTTTGTACTACCTAAGCTGGGCCATGTGAGAACCATCAAAGTAGAAGCATTTAAGTACCTGTAATAACTAATAAAAACTGCTGCAGAGATTTGCTAAAAGACAAGGACGTTTCCCTTCAACATACTGTGAAGTTTCAGTTTCTTTGAAACTGCAAGTCCATCACCAACAGAGGTTGAAATCTGTTCTTGTCTGTACACTCCTGAATGAAGGAATTTCCTGCCTAAATTAAGTGTAGTCACCTAACACAACAAGCACGTACAGTTTCTTTTCCCACTGCCAACAGCAACTAGTTTACTTTCCTTATTCCTTTCTGTAGCTCTCTGTTTGCCTAAGCTACCAGTAATTTTGTCTTCTGGTATTCCCGCAGGTATACTCTGCCTACAGGTTTGCTCTGGCTGCCCGGGAGAAGCAGCTGCCAATTGCAATCCTTAACATTGGGCCCACAAGGTCAGATCACTTTGCATCCTTAAAACTGAATTACCGCTGTGGAGAGCTGCTGCCTTTAATTGTTGCACGTGACCCAACAAATTGAGCTTTGGAAACTATCAGGAAGTAAAATAATTTCTACAAGGTAAGTACCTTCCCTGGTCAGTCACCTTACAGGGTAAGAAGATGGATTCCCATCAAATGCCGAGACCAGGATGCGCCGACCACAAACACGTTCCCACAATGTGCACCAAAACGTGGCTGTGAATTTTCACCTGTCACTGGTATGCTCTGACGGGCCGTGATACTGTTTCCCATGATTATAACCAAGAAGCATGCTAAGTGCTGATGCTCCCAGAAGACTGAGCCGGAAGCCTCGGCAGTGCTGAGTTCCAATCCATTTGTCACAATCGAACACTACAGGGGCTCATCCACAGGTTCAGAGATCCTGATCGGCACTGTTGCCTTTGCAACTGGCAGCTCAAAAGCTGTTCCTGGTTGAATTGATCCAGCTAATCCTAATCAAAACACTGCTGTGTAAAAGTATCAATTCCGTCGATAAAGCAGCTTTTTCCCTCCACTCCTGCAGGAAAATCGAAAACCTGCATCATCCGAAAACCTCAGTCAGCAGCTGTGACACTGCTGTGTAAAAGTATCAATTCCGTCGATAAAGCAGCTTTTTCCCTCCACTCCTGCAGGACTCATCATCCGAAAACCTCAGTCAAAGAGGCAGCTGTGGGATCCAATCCCTGATGACACCAGGAGAGGGCAGCAAGCCTTGCATGTCAACCCGACCAGTTTTCTCCACTGAAACCATCACCAGGAAACAGGCTGATGGTGAAAAAAGACCTTTTTGGCCTTACCTTGCCATTGCAAACAGTGCCTTTCCTTCTCATTGGCTGTGACAGGATAATCCAAGACAGAATACCTGCTAATTGTTCCCAGAGAACTAGGGACAGGGATTTTGACTGAGTAACCTGAGGCTGTAGCGCAGGAGGGCGATGTGGAAAACCACGGTGTCTGCTGGAAGACGCAATACCAGGGGCGGTCAGCCGTGCAGTGTGCAAAGAGGAAGAGGAGGCAGGAGGAGCTGCCCTTGTCATTTAAAAAAAAGGTTCAAAATAGAAGCTGAACAAGAATACTGCTCGTGTAAGAAATTATTTGAAAGCCCAGACTACAAGGCTGACGTCTTCTTGCAAGGAGGGGAAGTCAGCACTTCTCTCAGCTGTCCATTGGCAAGCTGAACGATCTGAACCCCTTCAAAACATTGCTGAGATGCCAGAGGGGTTACTTTAAACTAATCTGACCAGCGCTGCTTTCAGTGTGGCTGCTGTGTTTTCCAGAATGCACTTTCTGAAGATGTTATTTAATTAATGGATAGCTAAGTAGTAAATTAAAATTGTTTACAAGACTGATACTGTTTGCATTGTAATCTCCTTTCCCTCCCATGAGTTATTTAAGTACAGTCTCAATAGCCAGTTTAGATTCTTCTTTTTCCCATTGCAAAAATCCAGGATGTAATTACTAACAGCTGATGAATTAGGAGAGAAATACAATTAAATCTGTACAATAGGTCTCCCTCAGGAGGTAATCTGAAGCTATTAATAGATGTAATTTTCCACGCTCCTAACAGGGGATCCATCACTGCTGGGTAACCATTTTGTGCTGATCCTTAGGGTGGTAATTTAAGAAATATTAAACCATTCGTGGCCTAAAAGACAGAAGAATGCCCAGACTAGAACACTAAATTTTTGACCCCACCTCTGCATGAATTTACTGCTCCCCTTCTGGCTGTGAAGGAGATTCATTGCTGGGGTCTTCCCAATGCCCCAGTCCCACTCTCCACATAACATGCCTTGTATTCATATTTTGACAAGAACTGTAACAAGAAGTTGGAACCAAGGATGCCGGAGTCATCCCCTAAAAGGTCAAATAGCAAAGCAAGGACAACCGACCACGTGATGCAAAGGTCTTTTTTGTTTTGTCTTTGATTCAAATCTGTGCTAGGCAGGAGCAAGTAAAGCACAGAACCCAGGGGATACTTAGGCACCCAATTTTTGCAGAAGGCAGAGGAATTAAAATATCTAACATGTTTCAAGATTTTGCTATTATGGGTCAGAGGAGAGGAGGCTTCACTTAGAAGCCCAGCAAGAGAAGCTCAGGACCCCTACCTGCATTCTGCTGTCATTTATGGAGATCCCACCTTGGCTATTTGTTCCCTGTGCTTTAGCCTGTGACTAGCACATGCTTCCTTTGCACCACATCTACACAGGAAGGTGGGTAAAAGGCTCTTAGGAGGCACTGCTGCTCCCTTCCCCAGTACACCATGAACCTGGCAGAGCTTCAGGAATTGTCTTCGACCCATTTGTCCGTGTGCAGCTCAGTGAATGGAGGTTATTATTCCCCTTCATGCCAGCATTTGCTTCTTGTCTCAGCCCCGGTGCTGTTCTCCCCAAGCAACAAAGGGACTCGGTGAGAAGGCAGCCTTAATCCCACTTGTGCGACAGCCTGAGGACCCCCCGGCCTTCCTTACCTGCCGGCACTGCTGCAGCAGCAGAAGGTGTGCAGAGAGACTAGGAGCTTCACTGCAGCCATGGTTGGTTCTGTGCGGGCACAGGAGTCGATTGTTAAACCCAATTACCTTCTGTCACGCTAAACGGGGGAGGGTCGGAGCCTGATTTTTTGTTGTATGCCACCTGCCTGAGTGAGGAACCAAGCACTGCCGCCCTCCCACCAGCAGCGATTTGCATCAGACTGTGAACTTCGGGGTGCACATGGAGTTTTTGCAGATGTTGTCTTCAGTAGTACAGAGTCCATTTGGATTTTCTTCTCCTTGGCCCTTGCCAATGTAAAGATATGGGATCATGCTGCAAATCTGGGTGTCTAATCATGTGTCTACATCTTTCTATACCTTTTTTTTTTTCCCAAGAGTCTTATGATAAAGCAATAGCAGAATGTCCCAGAAATCCTCCTCTATAGCAAAAGGCACCACTTCTGATTTGCATATGCTGAAGCTGCAGATGCTGTCTGGGTCTCGGCAAGGGCAGGCAGCACTTAGGTCATTCATGCAAAACCGCTCTCCCGTAGTGTGTAAAACGTCACAGCTCTGTAGCGTGAGGCCCTCCAACACAAAATGCTCTTTCCTTCTCCCCCCCTCCCTTAGCCTTAGTAATTGGTACCTGCTTGCCTAATTGTCCTCTCCGGGTGGCGAGTGGGTATGCATTTCTTACTGTCCATCTGTGTCCCCTGCATCTGTCAGGACTTGGGTGCACAGGTGACGGGGTGCTCAGCTGTGCAGCCCCTGCTGGGGGCCCTTGCAGTTAGAAAAGCTCACAGAACCAATACGATGGGAGAAAAAGGATTAATGGGCTCCTTTGTGGTGTTATTCCAAATGGCTCATCCACCTCTTTTTTTAAGGCTCCAACTAAAACGAATCAAAGCTGTTTAACAGACCATGTACCAGAATTTCCTGTCCTTACAGAAAGAAAACATCAGCCAGGAGGAATCTGGCAGGGAAAGATATTTTCACAGTATGTATCAGGGATGAAAATGGCCAGACCAGTAGGACTGGAGAAGCAAAGTTCCCTATCGTTTTACTCTCTCACCACTATAATCTTTTCTGTAATCTAAAAACACAATTGCTACGGCCAAGTTAATTCCAATCTCAAAAACCCTGCACTGAGACACCATAGAGAATGGGTGGATATAGTGATAAAAACTCTGTCTTCAGGCATTTGGCTGAGACCCTCCTCATTCCTTTCCCATTGACTCTGAGCATCCTCCTAGGACTGTTGCTTTCAGTTGCTGTTTACCTGGGACTGCCCTAGGGCAGGTCATGTTGAGAGGAAGACTGTATCCATCCTGCCCAAGCCCCAGGATTTGAATGAACTGCCTGAGGAAACCAGTGAGTTGGCACTGGTTTGAAATACTTCCTGGTTTTTTTCCCCCTCCTCATAGCTGCAAACACGGGGAACAAGCAACATCCAAGGCAATCAGAGAGGAAGCAGCATACTCTAAAAGGCAGATTGAGTTGCCTTCACTCCATGGATCCTGAACCTCCCAAGTTCACTGTGCCCAGGGTCTTCAGTCCCTTTCTAAAAGTCATGAATAAGCAGGTTTGTCAGTGGGAGCACCTGACAGTAAGATGTGGGAGGCTGCACTTACACCCTCCCCACCAGGCACAAGTGCTTCGAGCCACCCGCAGTCTGTGCTGCCCTCACCGGACCACAGCATGTGAAATAGCTTTCCCAGGCTGCAGGACTCGATTATGAAGTTTGCTCTGAGAATTTGCCCAGAAACAAAGATAATTTGCCAAAGAGGAAGTAGTTTTTATTTGCTTTGGATAACTTCAACCCCACCTCCAGAGGAGTGGCAAAAAATCCATTATAAAGCACTCTCAGCTCCTCTATCCTCAGGAGCGTGTGCTAGTTGGAACAGCTGTAAGTAAAAGGGAAGAGCACAAGCTGTTGATTCAGCTAATCTCATGGTAAAAACCTGTCCTTGTGCTGTTGTCTGATGTGTACTTTTGCCACCCATAGGTGAACAGAGCTATGACCTCAAGCCCTGATCTAAAATACTGGTGGAGGGATCTAACAACAGTGGGCCAGAAAAGGTAGGAGAGGATTGGAGCATGTAGAGGTTAAGGCTACCTTAAAGCAGACGAGGTAGGTAGAAAGGATCTGCATTTCCTTCCTGATGATGGCAAAAGAAAACATTGCTCAGGCTCTTTAACACTCTTTTTCTGTGTTAGTTCCAGTCACTAACACAAAGATTACTGTCCTGTTTAGTCTTCCAGGAATGAGATCTCTTCCCCCTTTTAAGCGCCCTGTCCCTTGCAAATTCTGCATAGGCTGAGAGAATAAAGGTGAACACTAGGTCAGGTCTTTTACTGAGTTTGTTTCCCCACAGCATGGCTAATTCACATCCTATAGCGCTCAATCCTGAAGGTTTCTCCCTCCAGGTTAGTAACAACATCAGTTAAGCTGAGAAACACAAACTTCTCAGGATAGGTCTTTGCCAGCTCCCTGCAATGACACAGTTATCTTCTGACAGCTGTTATCTCGCTGCATTGCGCCTTCCCACACAAACAGTCCCAGGTAGTGACAG